GAGAAAATATAAGAATAAGTTATAAGCCATGTGATATGTGATTTATATGGAATTGTTCTACGTGCAAGTGATTATATGCATAATTCATCCATGTTTTAATATGACATTATGTGTAATGAGCGGTATTACCAAAGGATAATGCTAAGTGATCATATGTGTACATGTGAAGTGAATGATGTGTTATATGATGAGTGATAAGAGATATATGAAAATGTGAAGTGTATCCATATTTAAGCCCATGTTATTTAATATGAGAGCTGTAGGTATAATTGGTATGCCAAGAGTCGAGGGATTATCAGTGGTCATTCAGGACATATCAATGGTCCTTCGAGACATAGTGGTCCTTCGGGACATAGTGGTCATTCAGGACAAATATTCAGTGCCCCTAGTGGGAATTATTCGAGCTGTGGTGACAACATTTGTGCACAACCTCAGTGTACTCACGTACCTTTTGTTCTCAATAATGTACATGGACAATTCAAAGATAAAATTTAAGTGAAATTTGCATAAGAGGATTATTTGCATATGTGCATAACATGATCATATGTGTTATAGTTTAGTAGAAAAACGTAAATTTCACTGTTATGTTTGATTCTTTGTGAATTGCTCTAAGTGATTGATGATGTGCACATTTAGTGAAGATGAGATTATATGATAAGAAGGTTTGATAATAATGCTAAGTGTGAAGATGATAATATACTGGTGCATGTATGTATACGTTATATGAAATATTATATGTTTGTGAATGGTAGAATCATATTAAGTGTTCATGTGTTGCTCTGAGTTAGAGTTTCTATTATATGTTTTTTTTATGCCTCACTAAGTCATCGACTTAGCGTGTGAGTGTTCACACGTAGGTTTTGGAAAGCGAGAAGAGAAGTGAAGAGGAGCAAGACAGGTCAGACTCTCATTTCCACAAATCAGATCAGAATGGTAGTTAAGTGTAGGTATTTGGTTGTATATAATGTGTTGGCATATAACAAAATTGTGGATTTCTAATGCTCTGATTAATTTTGTTTATTTTGGTCCAACTTGAGTAAATTAACATCTTTTATCTTAAAGAAAGTTTAAAATTTTCATGATTTTCTTTAAGAGTCAAGGTTTGAAAAGTCAATGTGACACCTCGGACTTGTATCTGAGTCCGGTACGGGTTGGGGTGTTACAAAATTACTCTTCTTCTCCGGCACCTGAACAAAACCTCCATAGCCAAGGTGAGAAAGTTTTCTTTCATTTTTTTGGATCCATTTTAGTGAGATTTAGGACTAAGTTGTGAAATAAGAAAATATTCTACACTAGTTTCTCTACAAATTGATATAAGTATTGCATTGTTTCATGTTGAAATGTGAACATGAGTATTTTGGTGGATGATGGGAAGTTGAATTTGATTGAAATTAGGATTGATTTTGATCTTATAAGTCTTATGGAATCATATACAAGCTTAAAAGTTATTTAAAACCCAATAAGGGACCAAGTTGTAAGTATTCAATCATGTATGGGTTTTATGAGAAAAGATAATTTTTGGTTGTTTTTGTTATGAAAATGGTTAGAAATGGTTGGGAATTGATGAAATTGAGTGTAGGTGATGAAATTGAGCTTGAAACAAAGTTGGAGACCATTAGGAGAAATACTTGAAAGATTAGGTTTGGGTGTAAATAATTAGGAAAAAATTTGTAAATATTTCTTTAAGGGTTAGAATGGATGTATGAATGATTTCACGCGATTGGAATTAAGTTTTGGATCAATTTAGATTAATGATAAGCTTAAGGGACCTTTTTGTAGGATTTGTGAAGTTGAAAGATTATTGGGTAAATGTTGGGAAATTGAAGCACTATGCTGGAAATTAGTGTTAAAATAGTGAATTAGACTATTTTGGAAGGGAAAATGATGAAGAATTAAGTTGGAAGTTTAGGAAAAATTGGTGATAAAATAGCAAAAATGCAAGATTGAAGTATTTGATTTGAAAATATTATTTGAAGTTGGAAATGGTAACTAACATGGAATAAAAGTGATGGATAGGGACTAATAGGCGAGATGTTCGAATTATAGGGATGAAATTTAAAGAAATGTGTAGTTGTGGGTTATTTGTGAAATTATGGGAAGTTAAGTGAATTTTAGTTATGAAATATTAATTTCAAGTACTAAGAAGGTTATTTTGCAAAAGTTTAGTTTGAAATTAATTAAGCTGAAGAAAATAGTACCGAATATACATTTATTGTGTATTTGACATTTTATTCGCATATGTGCTTAATATGTTAATTAGACACTAACATATGTTTGAAAATTTATTTTGTCGGATAATTGAATTTTGGTAGACCGCGATCATAATTGAAGTTTAAGTAAACAAAAAGAGAAGAACGAATTGGATAGTGGTTTGAACTTGACAACTCGAGCTACAAGGAAGGCAACATGTGAGTGCAACTAAGATTTTTATAGTAAATAATACGAGCAAGATTTGCGATTAGTCAATCTCGATCGTTTTTATAGAAAATGGTTTTAAAATAACATTTGAACATAGATTTTATTAATTTTTTTTTATTTCATATCATATGATAGTTTCGAGTATGAACTGCCCAATACAACATTTATTTAAATTTTATTATATTCAAATGCATGGTTATTTTATATGCAAATTAGTATATGATTTCGAACAAAGTTCATTGTATGAAACTTGAGAGTTAGTGGTACAATTGGCATGCTAAGAGGTGTAGTGTTATTGATCGATCACACTAAGGTACATTTATGTACATCATAGTTACCAGATACATTTATGTATTCAGGATTCATAGATACAATGTTGTTGTGTTCTACAATACCTGTACATTCACAGGGCACCTATAGTGCTATCAGAGGCACTAAATGTGCAACATAGTCACATGCAATTATACTGCACATAGCATTGAACACTCAATCATAGACTCGAGTATCATATATTTTCATGATAGTATAGTGGGCAACTATACGAATCGAAATAAAACAGTATTGATTTGATACATGTCTTAAAGTAAAAAACTTTGATAATTGTTTTTATTTTATGCATGATTCATTTTAATAATGTTTTTAATTGCTTATTTTTATATGTTATTTTTTTTAATTATGTTGTCTCACTAAGTGGAAAACTTAGTGTGTGATCGTTTCACACGCAGGTAAAGAAAAGCAGACAAAAGAGTATGGAGCCAGACATTACATCCTATATTTTGGCAGACAAGTTCAGACATCCAGAATCAATATGACATCTTCTCGATGTTTTTGTTATTATAATTGACATGTATATATTTATTTCTTTTGATGCTTTGATTCGAATATGTGTGAATTACTTCTGATTAAATTATATATGATCAATATTTTATTTCCGTATAGATAGATTTTGTATTATAGTTTTAAAATGCAATTAATTATTCTAATGTCGATTTTAAATAAAACAAAATTTTTACTGGATTTTGAATAGTTTAAGTTTTATATGATGATGTGACATATTTAGCTTGTATACAGGGACATATACGGGATAGGGGTGTTACAAGTTTTTTTTAGTGATTCTTCGTTTTCCCTTTGCTTAAAGTTTGCAAGAATTCTGGGAAGATAAGTATAAGCTTCTAGCTTATTGGTTTGATGACCTTGACAAGTTTAAAGATTTTGAACATAGAAAGAAAGTGTAAGTGTGGGTAAGCTTAGAAGATGTCCCACTACAACTATGGTATACTTAATTTTTTAGGAAACTAGTATGCAGTTAGGGTGATTTTATCCTGCTAGACGAGGAAACGTTAAGCCTAAATTAATTTATCGTGGCCAGAATCCTCGTTGAAGTAAAGTTGGAGTCTTATATCCCTAACAAAATCTCGCTGAATGTTAATGACCTTCAATGTATTATCAGAGTCTGTCAAGAGGAATTTAATGGTGATCAAAGTTTTCTGGACGTGGATTCTCTTATGGAATCTGCGCTTAAGCATGTATCTCTATTATTGGGATATCCCTATCGTATTAACTCTGGTGTTCATATGCTCATGCCTCCTGAGAAGAATGTTGGTGGACAAAGCCTAGTTGAAGTTGCAAACACACCTTTGGAAGCTAGTGAATCAGATTTCTATCATGGTGAAAATCATAGTGTTTTCTCGGGTGGTTCTCCTCCTTCTGGGCCCATGACGTTGAATAAGTTAGCCATCTATCCTCTTGTTGATGTGTGAATGGCTTGTCCCATTGGGCCACAAATCCTCCCAACCTACATCTTATTACTAACCCCCGATCTGCTCCATTATTTGAGCTCCATGATGTTCCAAACTTATCCGATTCGAGCTCCATTGAGAGGTTTACTAGCTTGATTCCTCTGATTGAAGTCCAATCTTCTGAGTTGATAAGTTCTTTTAGCTTCTCTTCTAAACTAGCTGGACCCTAAAGATCCAGAATCCTAAGCATGGTCAGCGTAGTCCGTGTTCTAGGCCTTCTAAAAGGAAAACTTTTAGTAAATATAGAACCACTACGAAGTCGAAGTCCTCTTTTCGTAGGAAGAATAATAATAAGTCTTCAATCGCTCAATGTCCTGCGGATGCTTGTGCGAATTCTGGTCTAGTTCTTACTGATGGTATTGATAAGGCTGATGTTGTGGTCACTACAAAAATTGCATCGCTGCTTGGAGTATATTTTGAGGCCTCTCAGGACCTAATTGTTATTCGTCTGATAGAGCATACAAGCCATGGAATAACATACTCCGAAATGAATATACAAACACAATCATATAAATATATGAAAAAAGTAAAAAAAAATAAATAAATATATTCATCACTTACGATTTGAATAACATAATTTATTGAAACAAGCCATGGAAGAAGTTTCCATTTACAATTTAATATTTCTATTCATTCCCTTCCCTCCATTCCATGTTAAGCATGCAAGTTTCCTATAAACAGAAGATTAACTATATCTTCTCTGAAATTTCAAAATTCTGATAAAAAAAAATCACTTCAGATAATATTAATTAAAAAGACCCAATTGAATAAGTAACAAAGAAGTTAGTGAGGATTCTTACAAGCACATATGAGTAAGGAGAACTCATCATCTCTTTCCTTAACCATGTGTTCTTCAAACCAAAGCCTGCAATCTAATCCACTCCTTGTCCTAAACATGAACACAGCACAGCCTGATGTCTGGTTAAACAGCCAATCATGCAAATCCCACATCATATCTATCAACAATCCATCCAGAAAGATTATGTGATTCCCTCTGAAATTCCACCTCAATCTCTTCACTTGAACCATCTTCTTCTCATCAATGGCCACCGTCAATTCAGGGTTCCTCATCCCTTTTTGTTTCCCGGTTTCTTCTTCGTTGCATTTGATTAGTATGTCATGAGCCAATCCTTTATCACTGAACTGTGCCTTGGTCGAGTAGAGGCTGCTGGTGCCTACATAAACTTCACTCCTCGAAACCAATGAAAATTTTGGTTTTGTTGGATTTTGTTGTTCATTCATATGATCCATATCTCCTAGAGATAAACAGAGTTGAGAGTCTACTAAAACGATGACAGAAAACACGGAACTCGGTTCGGGTCCATCCATGTACCGAGCATCGGAAACATCCCAAATGACTTCAATCTTCGAACCGCGGGCTCTGAACGTTTTGCTGCCTTTTCTTTTCGTGAGACAGTGCGTGTTGGGGTTGAGTTTCAATGCTGTATCGCTGACGTTAATAGTTAGGCCATGGCCGAGGCGATTGTTGCACCATGCGAGGGTGATGAGGAGGTTTCTTTGGGAGGGGATTGTAGCTTTGTATATACATTTCACGGTGTTTGGAGACGAAGGGACAAGGTTTGGGGAGATATGTGGTTGGTTTGAAGGGCCTGAACAGTAAGAATCCGACACTTTGATGGCGTGTTCATTGTAACAAGATGCTATGCTCCTCATATTGTAAGAAAATTTTCCCAATGAAAAAAGCAAGATGGAGAACTTGAGCCTTTTTGTTTTTTTTGCCCACTTCTATCGGAATATATGCTGGTTGGGGCAAAAGAAAGAAGGCTTTTAACTCTTCCTTACCTCTACCACAACAAAATTTACTCATTCCACTACTTTAATCTTCCTTGTCAATGCTTTAAAACGTACATCCTTTCATTAAAAGTATCCGATTCAGTTTACTTTGAGAGCTTAATTAAAATATTTTAAAATCTGGGATCACTTTAAAATATTTCCTATAATATGAGAACATATAACGCAATTAATCTAACTAATAAAATATTTTATAATAAATATAATAAGTTAAAGGGTAAACTATCTATTTGGTCAGCCACCTATTATTTAGTTTCTGTTTCAATCACTTAACTATTATTTTTTCTAAAATCATAGACAATATAATGTTTTGATTTTGTTTTGGTCAACTGTAATTAAAAAATTAACGGTACTAACGAAGTGATATTTTTTTTAACATTGACGTGTCAATACTTTATAGTGACACATCAGTATCCCAATAATTTTTTAACAACGAGTGCCCAAATTAGAATCGAAATGTATCGATAGCCATGATTTTAAAAGTAAATAACAATTGAACGGTTAAAATAAAAATTAAGTAATAGGTGAGTGAACAAATAGATAGTTTATCCCAAGTTAAAAGGGTGTTATTTATTATTATTTTTAATGAAAAAGAGACCTCAATTTCTCAACGATTAAAAAAACATCAATCAAGTAAGCATATATTATTTTACTCGATATGATATTGGGATGAATGATGATAATAATAAAATAATGAAACTCAAGCCACAAGGAGGAATTTGATTAACGCATGGGATTGAGGGTCTACTTTGTACTCTATTGGATACCATTAGGACTCAATTTGATGTATTGTTTTTTATTTGGATTTGAAACTTTAATCTGATAACTTAAAATCTAATTTAATTTGACAACATTATAAAATGAAAATTATAAAAAATATATTTTAATTTAATTCTATTCATGAGACTTGCATTGAGAGACGTATCCTCAATAGGTGATGATGATGAATTGATTTAATTGGTCCTACTACTTAAAATCTGCCTTCAGATTCACCAGCTAACAGCTAAAGACTAAAGGCCCCCTACCTATTTACTCCCACGCCCTCAGTTATTACAAAAATAAACCTACACTTTTATGTATTCTTTAAATTGTAATGTAACTCCCCATTCATTGTAACATTAATGCTTAAATGTTAACCGTTTTATCTGTCTCTGGAAATGAAACTGGCGTTATTAATTTATACATGGCGGAGAAATTGAATATAAGGTAGTATATGTTAATAAAACTCTTAATCATTTGACAATAAATACTCGTACATCTTTATAGATGTCGTGCTCGCATTAAATATTTTTTTATTCACCAAAGTTTCTAAAACGGCCAATTGAGAGTTAAGAAAGAAAGGCACCATATTTAAGCGATTAAAGAGCTATGGCAGATGGACATTGGACAAACAAGAAGCAGATGCTTTTTTGTTGGAAAATTGTGATAATAATTGTATGTATCGAGTGTGGATATATAAAATGAGGTGGGAATGTGGAACATAACAGAATATAAGATGGAGTGATGAAAAGTAAATTAGATTGTTCAAAGAGGTTTTTGGATCAGGTGCTTGAATTGAGAGAAAAGAATATGCAGACGCTTAAAGAAATGGATGGAAGAAAGGAATAATCTCTCCTTTGTAGTATACGCGATGAATATGAAATAGGCGGATTCTTATTAAACGGAATCGTTTCTGTTTCAGTTTAAGATGGGTTACAGATTAGACCCATCTTGATTTCATATCAGAAGCAATAGGAAGTAGTTTAGGGATACAAGTATTTGTATATCAGATAAATCCTGATGTTGGGTGGTCCAAAATATTTAGATTCCTGGACCATTGATCGGACAGACATGCTGTCTGTCACTGTCAGTATAACCTGATTTGTAAAAATCTTAAACATCAAGTTTTGGGTTAGTCAGTCACCCTATGGCTTAAGCTTTGATCATAAATTGGTCCCCAGTTTAGCTAGAATCATTGTATGATCGAACATGTTTGCTTTTTTCAGTAAAATCTGCAACTTCAAGCCAGAAAGTCTTGTTACAATGCAGGCCACCATGGATTATAATTGTATTTCCATTACTATTAGTGTTATGATATAATATAACATATGGATTTTTTGGGTAAGTAAAACTCTTCATTCATAAAAAAAAAATCATCTTTATTACAAAATTTCAACTATACATAAATATAAAATTAAAACTCTATACGATCACTTATTCCTCAGTATAATTCAATTATTTGAGTTGCGTAGCATGGCAAAACTTGAACAATGAAGAAAACTGCATTCAGCCAGAAGCATTTGATTTCCCAACTTGTAATGTAATCACCAATGCTATTTTCACTCTTAGGAAATTGTTGATGAAACCATTTTTTGGAATTCCAGAAATTATGATCCTTGAAACATTCGAGAAGATGGTCAATTTCCACAGAAACATCATCTACTCTCGCGTACAGTCAATTTCCATAGAAACATCATCTACTCTCGCGTGCTTTCCCAGTTCATACGATTATCCTCTTGATTATTAGTAAATCTTTTGCATCAATAAATACACTTTACAATCAGTGAATTGCTTTGGATCGACAACCATTTTTGGCAATAATTTTCACACTTGCAAAAGCTTAAAGAAAAGAGGCAACGGTCAAGCTGTGACAAGTTTGATTCAAGGAAACATGGTGGTAAAAACAGATGATGAATCAAAGAATATACAGGTTTTCATCCTTCTACTACACCCGATTTTCAGACTCAATAACTATACTTTAAGTTAGTGTAAAAGATATCCCTTACAATTAATGATATTATTAATATAAAGGGACTTTATTCAAATAAAAAAGAGTGGCCAGATTATGTTAAATCGAAGTAAAAAGCAAAATCTCTAATTTGAGCATAGTAGAATAGAGAAAAAGAGATGTTGAGAGTGGGATTTGAACCCACGCCCTTTCGGACCAGAACCTTAATCTGGCGCCTTAGACCAACTCGGCCATCTCAACTTTTGATCAAGAATTTAAACAAATTTTAATGTTTAAAATGTTATTGAACTTAGTTCAAAGAGATGACCTTAATTATCCAAAATTAAGAAGGGACAACAAAATACCGAGGAATCTCAGTGACAACCTTGAGATACAAAACTATGATGAAAATAATAAAAATATGTTACAACTTCCGTAATTACATGTGGACATTTTACTTCATCAATCAAACAAATCAGGCAAATGTTTGGCTATTTGGAACAGACATGTACATCTACTACTGCAAACAATCAAACGAATGCCGGTAATAATATTATTCCCAAGTCCTTTCAGTTCACCGACGATGCCGAATCATGTAAAGTGCATACCTTAGACTACTCAACTCCGTGAATCCCTCCATCTCGTATAATGTCAAAAAGAATGCGGTATTATGTGCAAGAAGATGACAGTAGGAGTTCCTATTTATTTTAGGTGTAACTTTGCTTTTAGGTATGAGGTTTTATAAATCAATTTTAATATTTTCTCTATAAACTAATTTACAACTTTGTGAATTAATTTCTCTCTGTTTTTTGAACTCAAACCTGGAACCTGAAAAATTTACTCTTTATCACTTTAGCATTACACCTTACTAATAATTTTAAGGGTAAACTACATAAATGGTCACTAATGTTTTAGTAAGCTTTCGTTTTCCCCAATAAAATTTCAAAATAAGAAATTGGTCACTAACGTTATCAACTTATAACAAATTGATCACTTGATCGTTAACAGCCGTTACTTGAATAACGAAATGCTGATGTGGCACGCTTGTTTGACTTTTTTGACATTATTTGGCGATGTAGATCATTTTGACCAACTTTCTTCTTCTTCTTCTTCTTCTTGCCCATGTGGGCAACACTTTTTATGTCAAACCTTCTGAGAAGGGTTCATCATTAGGTGAGGTGAAAGAAATCTCTTACAGATATGTAACACAGCTGAACATAATCCATCTTTATTTTCAAGGAATACAAAATGGTCAACCTACATATGAGGGAAAACAAAAATGAGGAGCTTGACAAGGATAGCATTTTGGATTTACAATAATGTATTCATGGTTTTAAAATAAAAACTCTTGGGAAAAAATATCTCTGACAAATTGCACCAAGTTATTTCTTTATATTATAGGAGTACACAGATTTGAGGAACCCTCATAATTTTTCATGTGGCACTCATTTGCTTGCAAACTGCTTGGGCTCCTTGGTAGTCCTTCCAATCTTCAGTCTCATATATGAAAGTAGTTGGCACTTTCCATTCGAATGCAACACTGTTCACAAATATATTATAAAAATAATACGATTATTCAATACTGTTTTTCCAAGCACCTGAAATCTCCATTATTAGTAGATTGCAACACTGATCTAGACTCTAGCTAATGGCTCACATGATTTTCATATCAGTCAGTTTGAAATGTATCTAGGTTTGACCTAGTGTTCGAGGTAAATGATGTTGAATTAAAATCCATAATTATAGGTACATATTTATAATGTATATTGTTATCATAAAATATGACATAAATTAAGTGACCAATTATGTTATAAAATCATAAGTATTAGAAGTGTCATGAAAATAAAAGTGCAGATACTATTAAAGTTGTATTTATAATCCGATGAGGGACATAGTTAAAAATATAAACAATAATTGATTTTTAAATTAGCTATATAAATGGGTTATGGTCCCCAAGAAATAGACAATCTCATATTTATTCTTATCCCTATTAGAGAGTTTATATTTTAGGGAACTCTATCTTCTTGGAAGATTACAACCAAAGAAAGATTAAAGGATTTCAACCTAGCAATTAATTCATGTACGCTTCTGCATCTAATATTTATTTTATTCTTGATGATTTGACATGATTAGATCTTGGTTAATTTCATATTTA